CATGAATTTAAGTATGCGGGAACAGTGTCTTAGAAACACATACATATATAATAATAGTAATAATAATAATAATAATAATAATAATAATAATAATAATTATGATAATAAAAATAATTAAAAAGTAATTCAAATAATAAACTTACGATCCCTCAATTTCGAGGAAACGCTATTGACTAGTTTCAAGACGGCAAAAACGATTAACAAAAATAAAAATAAGCATTTCTTCAACGATATAATAGTTATTTATAAATAATATTATTTCATTAAAAGCATAATCGTTATGTACCAACATGGATCGCGAAAAGCAAACAATGAAAAGGAACGTAAAACATTCGAAAAAAAAAAGATAAATAATAAAGATAAAAAACCACATGATTGAGCAAATCCCTTTTTTATATTTTATTTTTTTTTTTTTTTGCTTAAGACCACTATCGAGGACGATCAAATGGACGCGTGTCCGCAATAATAATAATATGTAACATGAAAAATTCTGTTCCCAGTGAATATCCTGCGGCGGCCATGGCAGTCGAAATGTGTCAGACTATGATATCCTTCAGTTTAAGTACGTTGGTGTTCTTGTACTTCTCTTTGTCTACTTTCAACGATGGCTCGTTCTTCTTCGTCTGCGTGTGCCACACTAATATCTGTAAATAATAAATGAACGTGTTCGTTTTTATACATGTCACATTGATAGGATTTCTGATGATTTATCATTCTGTCCATCTGTCGTCACGACCAATATACGCTCACGTAATACACCACGTACATATGTACACCAATCACGGAGTACAACACACGCAACGTGTTAATATAATTGCCACCAGATTGATATTCTCTCCGAAAAGTTGTATTTTCCTCCTACTAACTATTTTTATCAGTCTAGTCGTACATAATGCATAGTTCGTTGTGTGATCTACGTGTAATCTAAGCTTTTTTTCAGTGTTTTATTAATAATGTTGCCAATAAATTACGATGTTTTATTACTTCGTTAACAGTAAAATATTGTATGAGTAGACTTCATGAAAAAATTAATTAGTCGAAGTTTAAGTAAAAAAAAAAAAAATTATACATCAAATGTTTGTTAAATACTGCATAGAAACATTATGGGATATACCTATATTTATACTATTATAAATGGTTATTTGGAAAAAAAACGTAAGACTGTAATTGTTTAATTCACACGAGTTTACTCGACACTGTCATCATGTATCACTATTATCATATACAAGATACGCACAACTGGTCGTGAGACGCGTTTTAGAAAAAAAAATTTAATAAATTATTTAGTTATCGTGTAATACAAGTGAAAAAATAACCAAAGTGACATTATTATAAATTGATAGTAAAAGTCTATAACTTTTGTTAATAGATCAATATTGTCACTACTGTAGGTCAATTAACACAGTTGTTTTTCCGTCCAAATATTTTGTTCGGTGTATTTTCATTTAAATTATTACGATTTATTCCAAACATCAAAAATATACTTTAAAAACCCTTTTAAATTACAACAGTAGCATGTATTGTACTTACTACCTAATAAATTGTCACTACATTAACGAGCTCCAGAACCAAATTCAAGGGAAGTCCATTCAAAAACTTCATTCAGCAAGATTAGAATCAGAAGTGGTAGTGTGGACGAAAAAGTTAGAATTGTATATCAAAGTTTTCGTGAACTCGTTACTATCTTAATCAATAACTAGAATTGAATTACTCTGTTCAGTATATTCTGCGTTAGTTCACCATTTATTCATAGTATATATAATGGTGTTATTAATTTGTTTTATTATTTGTTTATTGAATTTTATTCTCAAAATAATTTATGTTAACCATCCGAAATTATGTGATAAATTTAATTCTAATGAGTTTTTTTTTTTTTTTTTGTATAAATAATTACCGTTGTTGTTTGATTGGATATAATATATTATTCGTTCATTTTTTTATTTCTATTTACTTTCCGGTTATATTTTATGATGAGAGATTAACTCAAGTTACATCAATAAATTAATAAATTAATAAATAAATTATAACTAATATTTATAAGAAAAAAAAAAAAATAGTGAAAATGACTAGCCGTATAATACGCTCGTGTTTGCATTTTTATCAAGCGCTGTCGTCTGAACTATAGTAAACTGTTATTAAAACGTCACGGAATTAAAAAATAGTATCGGGTGATGTGTGAGTTGTGTCGATGGTATATGTACGTTGATGCGGCTATGGAGATACAATACGATTATTTTAGGTTTCGGTCGGTAACAGCGCGCTTACTTTGGTGCAATTGTCTGCTTTTAATTCGATTTCATGCGGTTCGAAAGGAGCCAATGTTCTCAAAAATCCGTCTTCTTCGAATCCCGGTTTATAAGGCATTTGAGCGTTGGGTCGCTGAAAATACGGTAAGCATTCTACATTAGTTATTTGTAGTAATAAAATAATAAAAATAAAACAAATAGACTCTCAAATGTCAATGTCTCATGAAATCGATAAAGTAATGGGTTTTACAGTAATACGTGGAAATCATATTGTAAACAAAGTTTTCGTGAACTTAAAAAATAACAAACATGTCAAACGGATACGAGTAGAGCTTTATTGTTAATCATACGTGATATATTGTATAGTATTAGAACGCTTACGCTACACACACACACACACACCTATATATATATATGTTTATATGTATTTGAGCTGGAAAGTTCAGGGTGGTTTTTCTTTAATGCGATGAGGAGTTTTCTCGAAAAGTCTGAAAGGACAACAAGAGAACAAAAGGATTATCTGACAACCCGGATGAACAATGTTTAGAATACAAAAAGTGTGCAGAAAGTGAAATGAAACCCCGTCGAGTGTTAGCATATTATAATATTATTATATTACTTGCCGGTCTTTAAATTCATTTTTAGCACTACAAACCCGTAAGTGGAAATCAAATAAAAACAATACAAATCTCTCTGTGTATGTATTTTACAAGTATATATATTGAAAAGTAGTAGTGTTTGTCTTGGTGCTATTTTATAAGCTATATATATTTCCCTAATTCACCGCCTCGGAATTTCGCAGTACAAAGTTGATGTTTTATCATCGATTTACTAGGTGCTGGTTTGTGTTCGATCTCGATAGTTTTAGCGCAGCAAACCCTGAAAACTGGATACAAACCTAACATAATAAAAGGCTGCTACTTCAAACCCGAAAATCTTAAGTGGGTATATAGTACATTTCGTTTAATATCCGTTGTTGAAGACGTGCATTGATTATCAAGACAGTACTAAGACTAGTAAATAATCAACCGATTTTGTATCAGATAACACTGTTAGTAATAATACAGTATAATATCATAAGTATGGAGTTCGAATATTAAAACCAACACGATCGGTAAAACGGCTGAACTGATAACACTCGGAATAGATTCTCATAAGAATCTAACTAATCTAACCAAACCGTTTTTCACACATGTTTTGTATAATTTTACATGATTTTCATAATTTTCACTTTGTTGGATAATACAATAGTATATAAATCTGTAATCTTATCCGCGATCGCAATTACTTATATAATAAAATAACCTCGGTGGAAGTTCATGAAATTTAACTTAAATTTTAATAAATTTTTAAATATTTGGTAAATTACGGGGGGGGGGGGGGGGGTGTCTAGATAATTGATAAACAATCAAAGGAAATAAGAACTTGGATGGTATCAGGTGGATTATTGCGATATGGAATTTCTAGGTAAATTTGAATACAATTATGTCAATCTTTACACTCCGTCAATAACTATAATAAAGTTATAATATTTAAAAATTAGAGCAACTGAAAATGTAACATTTAAGTCAGTTTAATAACGCTTATATTTTAATTTAAGTTAATTAAATAAAATTAATTAATATTTCATAAAGAAAAATATTTTAAAAATTCATTCCTTTTACATTAATATCTACAATCTCTAATGGATCAGAGCTTTAAGGGGGCCCTCTTAAATTTTCTTAAATTGAGGCCTGGGGGAAAATGGTCCTGCCTCCCCTCTTAGCGACGCCCTGTTAGTGGGTATATTATATAGTAGAATGTTAATTATTTTCGTGCAGTGAACCGTAGGGGAAAAACACGTGTCAACTTTATTATGAAATTTGTCAATAAGAACGAAAGTGCAATGGAGCAAAACCACGTGGAGGAGCTTTAAAATAGCCGAAAATATTGTAGCCGACACATATTTCAGCCGACGGTATTTGTCATTTGACCATGATAATATCATACTGTGGTAATAGTTTATACCACGGTTATAGATACTATGTTATGATAGTCAGATAGGTACTAGTCAGAACCGGCGAAAGCTATGGGCGACTGGGGTGCCAAACTGAAAATTATTTTTATTTAATTTATATTTTAATACACATTAACAATCTACAATTTTATAAGTTAATAATTTTATTACAATATTATATAATCAGGTAATAAAGTTTAAAGTTATAGTACAAAATACCTAATTAAATTTTATTTAAACTTACTAAAAAATTTAATTTTACTATTACTCAAACTAGGTAAGGAGGGAATTAATAGTGCCAAAACATCTTAGATCATGTTATATCCTTATCTATAACCTAATCAGTAATACGGTATAAGATAGTAGGAGATAACATATTTTAGGAGTGTCGGCTAAAATACTACCGGCTCAAATACGGTTTGGACAAAATATTATCGGTTCAAATACGATTCAGCTAAAATACGGTTCGGACAAATTACGAGTAGGATCATTTATTTTTCGGCTAGAATACGAATCAGTTGATATATTATCGGCTATTATACGCACTCCTACCACGTGTACTAACTACATTATAAAAAGAGCAACAACTCTTAAAACTTAAACATTTTAATTCGAGCGATTATTCGATTTCTTCGTAATTGACAAATAACTGACATCTAAATACTGAATATCAAATCTGTGAATCAGGTCGATGGAGTTATAACTTTTATAACAGTGAACTTAAGAAGAACAGAATCGATCGTTCAAATCGATCACATCCAGATATTTAACAGTATACGGTATGGCTAATTAACACTTTCAACATTTTGCAAATAACATTAAATGTTTCATTGAAACAAATAAATAATAATAATTAATATTTCATTATTATTGTGAATTTCGTAGAATAATCTCGATGGCTATTGTATTATAAAGAACGGTTTGAAAATATAATTGTGATTACATAATAAATATAAGATCTACTGTGTCGTTGACAGAATTTGAAAATAGTGCGCAAACATAAACCGTGGAACGCGAACGGCATGGTATCATTTTTAATTTTTAATTTGAACGGACAAAAACTATTGAATAAAAAACACGATAGCCGTTCGTGTAATTATTTACCTACAGTGTGGGTAGGTGCCTATACGATTTTATGAAAATGTTGACTTACTTCTTGTAGGAATTTAACGCTAATCGCAAATCCGGCCATATCGACTGGAAACTTTCTACCTGCAATCCAACCATCGTAGAATCCGATCAATTTTCCGTTCTTCACGATTGGCGTGCTCAGGCCAGTCTTCGTGCACAGACCTACAGGCCACATGGACACTTTCTGTGTGTTGCGCATCTGCGTGCACATAATACATAACAATGAGAAGGAAAAAATATAATTTAAAACCATAACATATTTACATATTAATATGGTGTACGTTTAATTATTTTTACAGTTAGTATTAACTTTACGCACAAATGGAATTAAATAATATTTTCGGATTACGAACAATCTGAACGTGTGAAGTATTTATAAAATTAAAGATTATATTATAGTATGAGGTAAACAAATTAATTCCATGTTAGCAAAAGATTATTATTAAAAAATCCTAATATTAATTATTTAAAATCGTTTTGTTTTTAAAAAATATTAGTATAATTATTTTTTTCTTTACGTTTTGTAAAATATTTAGTGACTTTTTCAATGTCCACCGAACGAGGACCTTTATATTTATTAAAAGTATTAAAGTAAATTTTATTTTATCTATGAAATATATATTTTTATACATTTGTGTTTGTACCTAGACATTAGTGGCGTACTCACGGGGGGGGGGGGTTCATGGGGTTTGACCCCCCCCCCCCATTAGCCGTATTTTTTTTAAAATTATTCCAATAGTTTAATAATAATTGATTATTGATTTTATTGATTATAATTTAGTGGTTTATACGTCATTAGTTACCAGTATCACGGTTATCAAGTTGGATTAGAGCACGACCATAGAACATGTTCTATGACACGACCGTGCTATCAATTTATCGATTTGGTGACAATTTGTGATAATTTGGTTTTTTAAAACAGTACAAAATTTGTTATTATTATGACTATGGGGGGTGTGGGGGGCAGAGCCCCCCACTTTTGTATTCTTTTAAATTTTCAGAGCCCCTCCATTGAAAATTCCTGAGATCGCCACTGCTAGACATGGTATATTATAAAATTTAATTTTTTATGAATTTGTGAAAAAATATTTTCATTAATTGTTAATTTTTCAAATTTTAGATTTTGAATAGAACGAAGAAGGCATTGGTTTTACCATGAAGTGTGTTATACTAGTGTTATTTTTTTTTTGTATTATTGTGTAAAAGATTTCTACTTACTCCCGAGGAAGGATTCCTCCAATTATGACAATAAGAGACTTCCGATGGAAAATGTTGTCTATTTAATACTTTGAAGAGAGTTATTTCACGAATTTTCCAATATTTTACTTAATAATTGCAAAAAACTGATGAAAAAGTATAAAAACTACTAACATTTATGTTATACCGATTTTCGACCGAATCGAACTTGGGTTTTCATCTTAACTCAAAAAGTAATAATCGTAGGGACTTTACAATTATACTGAATGCTTATAATACTGTTCGCTATATATGGTATGATTTTTAAAAGATTTTTATGAACTACTTATGGGTATTTTAATAAATATATGTAAGTACATTACTACAAATTAAAAGTAATTTTTTTTTTTTTTTTTTGCTACTTACGATTATTAAAAATGATATGGGTTATTAGATTTTTTTTGAAAACGCCGATAAAATAAATTGAATACAACATTTCTCAAACATATCTATGACTGATTGATGATATAAAATCATGCTTAATTAAAAAAAAAAAAAAAAATACTTTTAAAAAAGTTTGAATATTTAATTTTGAATGAACATTAAATATTTCGAAATTCCGCTAAATTTTTGTGATAAAAAATGTTTAAAATTTTCAGTTTTTGTAAAATTGTCTTTTTAGCAAAAAAAAAAAAATCATAATAATAATAATATAATGGGAAAGTTACAAAAATATTTTGTGTATTATAATGAAATTAGAATGAATTCGGATATTTCAACAAATACCTTTTAAACTATATTAGTTATTTAATTATTATCCTATAAATATTAATTTTAAAGGCTCAAAATATTTACTGAGACTTATATTAGTATTTTTAAGGCATTTAATGGTTACTAAATATTTAATGAAATTTATGTTGTTTATAGGCAATTAAAATTTTCGATTTTTCTATATTTTAGATGCTTTTTTTTCAAAAGGTTAGAACATTAAAAGTTTAATCTATTTTATTAATAAATGGCTAATCATTTATTTAGAGAAAATTAATCGAAAAACTATTTTTTGTTTTTCCGATTAATTTTTTTTGTTGGTATATTGGTTCCAAGTTTTAAAGACTAATACAGCAATAACATTCATTCATTGATGTATCTCACCCTAATTTTGAGCCCCATTTGACCATTTTTAATTATAATATTACTGATTTTCTATTAAAATGAACTTGATTGGTCAATGGAATGGTTAAAAGTATAATATGTTAATCTGTTAAAAAAATAATTTTTTAAAAGTTATTTTAAAGTGGCGCAAATTACAATTTTAATAAGGTGAAAAATGACGTAAATTTAATTTTTTGTAGGTACACAATGGAGCAGATTACTTAATGTCCTTTTATTTAGTTTTGTACGGCGCAAATTACAACTTTAAAAAGTAGCACAAATTATCAAAATTAATTTTTAGATGTGGCGCAAATTACATATATATTTTTTTGGAGGGGGGTTGTTTTTGGCACAAATTACATACGTCCATGAATATCGCTTCTTTTTTTTTTATTTGTATTTATTAAGTTATTTTTAATCTATGTTTTTTTATATATATTTATGAGTACATGTAATTATTTTCTGTTACTGTTTAACCCTCAAAATAATCACAATAAAATAAATAGTATATAAGGTATGATTAAACTAGTTTATTCTCTGTTAAGAATGTTACACGTGTAGACGCACAAAAACAAAAGCAAACGATTAAAATATAATATCAATACGTTTAAAATATATTTAATACATCAAATATATTTAGTCATTTAATAGTTCGTAACTTAAGTAAAAAATAAAACAAAATATCCAACCTCATTGAATAGCCTAACATCGTAGGTGTTATCGTCATCGGCGAAGTACACTACGCCTTCCACCGCGTTCTGACGAATCCATTTCAGACCTCGGTTTCGATTTGCCACTCCTTTGGGTTTAGCACCTCGTATTTTTTTGAATTTTTCTGGCATGGGAGCTGAAAAAATGTAAGACAATAAGTTTATACCCAATGCAGCACGTTATCAACCCGGTCGGTGACAAGATTAAAATACACGTATAGTGGGTTACTTAAGATACCACTGAAAATGCACTCCTCGAAAGGGTATCCGTATAACGCGTATACGTTTTATTAGGAACAAAAAAAGAAAGAAAAAAAAATCAATGTTTCGAAAAGTGTTATTTTACACAAGTTGTTCTACGTTGTAACCCTTACACAGTGTACCGTATACATAGCTTATACTTCGGTATAGTTCGCCCCATCGGTCCCCAATGACCTCTACAAAGCACTCGGCGAGAGAGAGAGAAAGAAAAAGAGAGAGAAAAAGAGAGAGAGAGAGAGAGAGAGAGAGAGAGAGAGAAAACCTAACCTCAATCGATGGATTTACCACCCTACGCGTGGCCAAAGTAGTTAAATATCATGATTTTCGTGAAACTCTACTATGAATATGTACACAATAATACCCTATATCGAATAATATGTAATTGTTGGTAGAATTGTATGGTTGTTGTTGTTATTATTATTGCACAAAACTTATTATTGCACAAAACTTTTTTGTTAATTCGAAACGTCGTCGTGACCAAAGACATTATTACTTGGTTGTGCACTGGGATTGTTTACGTTTTCGAAGCCGCAAGAATGAAACAAATTGTGAATACCTACGTATAGCTTAACAGATATTTACAAGTGGATAATAAATTTAAATCTCACTACCGATCATTCGTTTTCAGTGAAAAATTATTCGTTAATTTATTTTTACCGTTCGTATCTCGCTTTTTCAATACCGAACATTACAGAAGGACGGTATTCATCTACGCGAGCGATACAACATTAGTAATTACTGTAACAGTCTTGTTCGTATATGTTAAAGTACGTTCAACATAACATTACGAAAATGTGTACTTGATAAACGCGTTATCGATGTACACAACAGCGTAATATGAAAAGGTTGGCTCTCTTTCGAGAAATAATATTATATATTGCTCTTGGGTACTATAAAAATTTATTTTGGGTTTTTTGTTTTTATTTTAACTCTTATACCAATGTGTATACCGATTTCGGCGGGTTAAATTAAATAAATAAACTCAGATATAATACATCTGAAATCCAAAAAAATAATTGCCCAATTGAAGTTGTGTTCCGTGCAGGCCCGTATTTAGGGGGACACGGGTGGCACAGGAGCGTCAAGTTTCAGAGGCGGCAAAATATTTTAGTAAAATTAATTTTAAAATTGATGTATCTAATGAAAAAAAAAAGAAAATAGTATGTTTTATTATGTTATAATTTGTAAATTAAAAAAAATTGTATTATAATTTATTAATTAAAAAAAGTATTAAATGATTTTTATTTATGAGTTATATTATAATATTAAAGAATCTCGATTATGGACGAAATAATAAGTGTTACAATTACTATTTATTTTATTTTATTTTATTTATTTATTTATTTTTTTTTTTGGGGGGGGTCATAAATTTCCCGGGGGTATCAAATTTTTGAATACGAGCCTGGTTCCGTGCCACGTATTACAAGTATGTTTTTCTAAACGCAACATTAACTATAATCGCTTGTTATAGGTTTTAGGTTGTGCTAAAGCGGATAATTGCATTTACTTGTTTCATACCACATTCACAGGGCATTGCCGTTTTAACGAAGTATCGTCTACTTTTATAATTACGTTAATAATTAGTGATGGACATCAATTATGAAAGCAATCGAGGTATTTCTATTATGATAAAAATAATCGAGTAATCAAATAATTTTGAACATGAGTAAAATAATGGAATAATCGAATAATTTTGATTATGAATAAAATAAACGAACTATACAGTTGTCCTCTAGATCTCGAAATAGTTTAAATGTTTTGAATTATCAACTGTCGGTTAAATATTATTACTAATTTAGTAGTCGAATTAGTATATTTTAAATCTGAAAAATAGTGCACACATAAACATATAACATTACAGTTTCCAATATAGTTTACATTTATTTAAGCATAAATTTGTTGAACTATAGGCTCACTCGCTAATTATGAAATATAAACTTTTAATATAGTATTTAATAATTAACTGTTATTTTTCAGTTTGGAGGACATTAAATTATATTTGAAACTTCACTTAAATGCGTAGTCAACTTTTATCCGGGTTTGTAGTCAAAAACATTTTTAAATATTTACAGTTTTTTTATTTTAAGTATATAAATAAGTATGATAAGAGTCATTTTATTTATAATTAAGAATTTAGAATATTTTATATCAGTATATTACTTTAGATGAAAGATAATAATTATTAATAAAAAAAGATTAAAAACTCTTGTCTTTTATTTAAAATAGAAACTAGGTTTATTTTCTCTACATTGTGATAATTATATGTGTATAAAAAATATAAGGTATGTTCTATGTATGAACGTATGGTAAACATTATATTAGATATTGAGAAAAGAACAAATTCAAGAACTTTTAATGTAGAACACTGTTATGTCATTGTACAGGAATATTAAAAAAAATTTGTAAGTCTTTTGTCTTGAATTTGTTCTTTTCTTAATATCTAATATAATATTTACCATTCAAACATAGAGCCCTACATTTTCTATACATATATAATTATCACAATGTAGAGCAGTGGTTCTCAAACTTTTTTTTTTTCGCGTACCATTTGAGTATATTATCAATAAGTCACGTACCATTAACGATTAAAAATGGAACCATACAAATTTCACATAGTTAAATACATTTATTTTAAATAAAAAGACAGTAAAATACTAAAATAAAATTATTATTTATTTATTAATACAAATTTATTAGTATTTTTTAAATTAATATATGAGATAATATTGAATTTTTAAGTTCCGTTCTACCACCGACCTTTCACGTACCATTAATGGTACGCGTACCACAGTTTGAGAACCGCTGATGTAGAGAAAATAAACCTCATCTTTACATAATAGTAATAATTATTAACAAATCCAATGTAAATTGTTATGTTCAGTGGAAGTATTTACATGTGTTGTAACATTAATGATTATGAAATATTGTCTATCGTACAGATACGACAGATAAATTTATTTTGATAAAAATATATATGATTATTTCAAATTAAATGCGACCCATAAAAAATAAAACCACAAAAAAATCAAAAACACGGACATTTCTCTTGACGTCACCCCAACCCTACCTATGGCTTTTGTTCGATAACAGAAAACCAAAATCGTACTTAAATAATATGAATAACCACACAAATTTATATAAATTTCATACTAAAAATTGATGGAGAAAATTTAAAAAAATTTCAATAAGGTGGGACTGGGGTGATATTTATATGGAGGAGGCGTATTGTTACAATTTAAGTCCGCAACTACTTATTTTATAACGATAACAACATTCATATTGTGGTCTGGTCCATGTGGTCGTGCTCACTGTGTGTGTGTATATATATATATATATATATATATAACATACAAGCATACCCAACGTCAAAAACTAATTGCGTCGCAACGTCACGTTGATATAATTAAAAACTTTTAAAGTCCATTAAAACGTAACACTGTAATGTTTTTATGTACACATATCGTTTATGTAGTTAGGTTAAGTTACTAAGATAATGTTACGTTTCTGCTCCAAACGTATACGTAGGTATTTAGCGCAAAAAACGTACTTACTCTACAGTTGTCATGCTGTCACTGCACCAAGTTTAAATCAGAAGAACGAGTGTTTCAAACTAGGAAATAGATTTTCATTAAGCACATATATTTTTAATAGATAAGTGTCTCGTAATGTATATTGTTTCACCAAATAAAAACTAAAATATAACAAAATAATTCATAATCAAAAATATTCTTAAAATATTAACCATTTTTTATTAATTGTATAAATAATTATTTGAAAACTGCACAATGTTTATAAATTATAAAATTAATAAATAAGTTCCTTGTTTGGATTATTATTATATAATTTACCCAGAGTGCATTTTTATAGTCGATGATGGTTTTTAAATTAAAAATAGTCATATTTTTTTCACATAATATCTTAGGTACTCAAAGCAAGAACTTTTTTTTTCAATTTTATAATTCACGTCGATATAATTAGAATTATTTAGTTAATTATTTTAACAATACTTTTTTATTATATAATCAAGAAGTGTTACATTTGAATTTATTATAATTATTAATCCAGACACATTTATCAACGATAACAAATAAATGAATAAATTGTTATCTTTATTTTGAATCACGTAAGAATTAATTAAAAAGATATTCACGATCTTGTTAAGAAAATATTATATAATTATTATGAGTGTACGTAGAAGAGAAAATGTAAATAATGGTTTTAAGTTCAAGATTTGCAATTATTATATACCCAGTTTTTTATGTATTATGTAAAATATAAATTCAGTTATTTGTAAGTTTCTTTTTGTCAGATCTCAAGAGCGGTAAAACCATTTAAAATTACTTGATCGTGGGTAAACTTTAACTACAATAACGGACATAAACGGAGTTACACACCGGATATTGGAGTTAACAACTATTTAATTATTTTTGAATAAAGATAGGCTCTACCAGGTGATTATTAAATCATTGCCTCGATCTTCTTGGTTGTAAATATGTTGAAATGACTCGATGTTTTTGTAATGTTTTTACCACACCAAAAAAATAATTACACTAGCGCTTTATATAAAAAGAGCGGTAAATTAAAATATTCCAAACTATAACGAAATTGGTGAGATTCACTGTGAACGGCAATATCTTGAGTTTAACGATTCGAAATAGTTAATTAACGTAAAGTTAGATGTACAATCAGCTGAAAAATGATTCACCGTGTCATAGGAACATATACAGATACAAAAACAAATTATTTATCACCCTTTAGGACCCTTAGGATATCGTTTATCATAAAATTCCATAAAAAAAAAAAAAGGGTTATCTGTTTTTCATCAGCTGAAAATTTTTTAAAAAAAATTAAATGTCTAGTTGTTGCCCCACCAAGG